CCGGTTCGATTACCACATGGTCCAGTGAGCTGAGCCCGTGCTGAGCTGCTGCTGAGCTGCCAACAGGTGGCAGGATGGCTAAGCTGGTGAGAGCACATGCTCCTAACAACAAGGCTGCAGTTGGACTCCCCCTTGGGATGGTGGGCTATGCCCATTCACAACTAAGATTGAACACCGCATCTTGAGCTGAGCAGCTGCGACCTGCTGATGGGTGACTGGATGGCGACTGGACTTGGAGCTGAGCTAGCTGTACCCTCCACAACTAAGGCTGAAGGACAACTTGGCTGTTCCCCTCCCCCAATTCCCCAATAAAATCTTTTAAAAAAATAAAAATGTACAAGACCAAGCATGAACCCTAATGTAAACTAGTCTCTGGGTGATTTTGATGTGTCAGTGAAGGTTCATCAACTGTAACAAATGTACCACTATGGTGAGGGATATTGATTATTGGGGAGGCTGTGCATGTGTAGGGCCAGGGAGTTTTGGGAAATCTTTGTACCCTCTCTCTAATTTTGCTGTGAAATATAAAACTGCTCTCAAAAATAAACTCTATCACATAAAAAAATAAGCTGAGCAAAGCAAAAAATAAAAATAAAAAAGGAAAAGACCTTCACTGGCGACTTTCAACGTTCACTTCAAGTCACTTCAAGCGCCCCCAGGCTCCACCCTTCTATTGGAGCCAGAGGCCTGGCACGCCCCCTGCAGGATAGGAGACGCAAGGAGCGAGGGTGCACCAGGCCTGGGCTGAGCTTCCCACCGGTGACCGCTGGCGGGAATCACCAGGCAAGGTCTTCAAAACACCAGTGCTGGGCCCCACCGCACACCGACTAAGACTTTCCCTTAGCAGGGTACCAGGAGTTCAAAAGCGCTCGCGTTCATTCTAACGTGCAGCCGGGGCTGGGAATCACGGAGAGAGAGAGCAGCGACGGGGTGGGGCAAAGGGGTGGAGGTCAGGGTCAAAGCAGAAAAAGAAAAGGAGGCAGCTGCCCTCCGGGTGGTCACTCTCTTGAGTGCTCACTGCTGCCGCACGCTTTCCAAGGGCCTGTGGCATGTGCCACGCTGTCAACAGCTTTCACATCAAGAATGGGTGTCCCCAGGGCAGGTGCGCTGACCATCTGCCCCAGGAGGACGCAGACTAAGGCCTTAGGTCTGCAGCAATCGCCTGGGTCAGGGTGGGGGCCCATCTCGCGCCCCGGCTCCCCATCCCCACCCTAAATTTTACAATCCAGGCCCGGGCGCCAGGTGCTGGCTCCACGTTTGCGCTCTACTTAAGGGCTTTGCCACTTTCCCACCGTATTGCCACCAAGCGGACGATTACACCGCTTCTGACCTCACTTTGGTGATGCAATACATGGGTGCCCACATAGTCTTCGCAGCCAACTTTGGCCTACACACCTGCTAACTGGCCACCTTTAAAATTAAAAGCAAGCAAGCCCAACAAATACAAAAAAACAAAACGCGCGCGCGCCAGGACCAGCGCAAACAAACGCGGAACCAGCACAAGGGCGTCGCCAGGGCCAGGTGGGTGGCTTCCCTTTACCGGTCGCCAGAACACCCAAAGCCCTCTGCGCACCTGCCGGCTCGCTGCCCCGCACCTCGCTCTCCCGCCAACGCTGCTCTCCGCAGGCAGAAGCTGATTCGGAAGCCCGAGCGCCCTGTGGATCCACGTGGGTAAGGGCCGACACCGCACGCAACGCACCGCCCTCTCGGCCCCGCCCAGCACGTGCGTCGGCCCCGCGTGCCCCCGGCGCTAGCGGAGCGCCTGTCCCGGGGGAAGGGAGGTGGGGTCGGGGGGACACCTCCGCCTCCAGTCGGCACTGCCCGCGCCGGGCCCGGCCTGTCCCCTGGGTCCCACCGGCCCTTTAAGGCTGGTCTGTTGCGCAGCCGGCCTCTGGGCGGGGAAAGCGCCGCGCGCGCCGCGCCGGGGCCGCCTCTGGAGCCGTAAGTAGCGGCGAGACCGCGCCTCGGGCCTCAGTGTGTCGCAGGCCTCGCTTCGGAGGCGGCCTGGGTGCAACCTCGGCCCTACGTGGGACAGACCCCCGTCACTCCGGGGTGGGCGGGCGCCTTGCGCGATGAGGGGTTGCCCGAGGCCCCTGTGCGCCCCTCCCCCACCTCCCATTCCCAACGCCGCCGGTTCCTAGAGCCCCTGGGCCCCGCGGGAAGGGGCTGACGGAGACACGTGGGGGGGACCCTGGGGAGGCCTCCTGGCCGGGGAGGCCTCCTGGCCGCGGACGCCCGAGTCCGTCCCGGATCCGCGGTCCCTCTCTCTCCGCGAACGACTTGGAATCCATGAGTGTCTTTTCACTCCCAGTCTGTAGGCGATGGAACTGTGTCGACCTTATTGTATATCCAGCTGGCGTCAAAAGGCAGGATAAACCAAGCCCTTAACACTCAGTCTAAATGCAGGTTGGGGTCCACGGCCGTCTCTTGTGAACGCACCGCTTTGGAGGGGTGGAGACAAGACCAAAACAAAACAAAAAGTACCCTGCGGTTCCGGCTGCCGCGGGTTCCAGCTGCAGGCCTGGGCGGTTTAGAAAGCTCTGCTTTTCCCCGGGCCCCGGGCTGCCGGCGCCGCCTCGCTCACCCTTACGCCGCTCTGAATTCACGGAGTTCGAGCAGCTACGTGTGTAGGGGATCCTGCAGGAGTCGTACCGTTCTGGATGCTTTTGCCCAAAGACATCCTTGGACGTGAATTCAGAGCCAAAGCTTATCTCCCAGAAGACTCGGAGGAAGAGCCATGGAAAAGGAATTAGACAAAAGCTCCCCCCACCTCTTCTTTTGAACTTGTAAAACGACCTTAAAATAGCATTTGGGGGCCACCTGAGAGTTAATGCGGTTTCTGGCCAGAGCGTCACGCAGGCATCTTTTGCCCTACAGGTTTAGGGGAACAGAGAGCTGGTGCAGTCGAAATGGCCCTGGTGCCCTATGACGAGACCGCGGTGATGGGGTTGCAGAGATTCCACAAGCCTCTTGCCACCTTCTCCTTTGCAAACCACACGATCCAGATCCGACAGGACTGGAGGCAACTGGGAGTCGCAGCGGTGGTTTGGGACGCGGTAAGTAAACCCTAGGCGGCCTCTGAAAACATCCACAGTTGATGACAAGGCTGGTCTTGATTTAAAAAAAGTAAAATAGCTTTATTGAGATATAATTCATATACATACACTTCACTTACCTCTAGTGTACAAATAAGTGCTTTTTAAAAAAAGCAAATTCAGAGGGGTGCAACTATCACCACGCTCAATTTTAAAACATTTTCATCACCCTACCCCCTCCAAAAAAAACTTCCACCCATTAGAAACACTTTCCGGCCCCAACTTCCCTCACGTGGATTGCACCTTAAGGGTGAGTAAAAGAAAGCTGAGGGAAATTAAATGACTTGTCAGTAATTTACCCAGCAGGTGAGAAGGACGGACGGAAAGGAAAGCAGGAGACCCTAACTGCTTTGCACACTCATTAATTTTTAAGTTTAATTTTTAAAATATTGCACAAAGACTATGGCAGAATGATGAAGCCCAAAGTGAAGATCATGTGTTTTCTTTACGCTTTCCACAGTTGTAATGGTCACAAAAAATGATACTATAATTGCTCTTTCACTTCTTCCTCTCCCAGCACTGTTGTCAGCTGCTTGTGACAGTGACTTGACCTCAGCATCTAGCACCGCACCTGGGATTCAGTGGGAGCTCATTTACTGTCAGATAAATGCTTGGTTGTAGATACAATTTTACAGTCTTAGCATTGTATTAGGGATGCTAGAGAAGCATTTAGGAATAAAAATATGTTTCTAACCCGGTAATAGCACTTCTATTATAGTAATACCACATGAAAAGTATTCCCAGACCAAGAAATAAAGATGCATAATGGTGAGAAATGGGTGAGCCCCCAAAATGCTCACCAAGAAGAGGTATTGCTAATTATACCAATAGTATGTAGCCATGAAAAACTATATTTAAAAATTATGTTAACAGTATGCAGTGCTTTTATAGAATTATATGCAAATGCTAACTCACACATCAAGTATCCCAAACTTTGTCTAAAACTTGCCTTTTGATGCCCCTGTAGGGCGATGACTGTCAGGGATACAGGAGGGAGAAATGTAGGTTCAGGAGCTTGGGGTGCTGCTCTCCTTGTTCCCTCTGGGGGACGCTGTGGCCTTGCTGACTTGAGCTTGGTTCAGGAGCTGGACATTCACATAAGCAAAATCCGAGACTGTTTATGTCAGCTCTGCCGGAGGAGGTTTGTAAGCCTCCAGGGTAGAGGTGCTGTGACAGTAAGAAATTAAACTTCCCAGATAGCAGGACCCTGTCTTGTGTGGGCAGGTGGCACTGGCCACTGCTGTTCCTGTTAGGGCCTTGGGTGTGGCCTGGCGCAGCTGTTCTGTGGGATGTTCGGATGTGGTGTCTATCCTTGCTTTACGAAGTTACCTCCCAGCAACAGCTGAGTTCCTGTGAGCGTTGTTAAACTGGGAATTGAACCTTGAAGTGGGAGAGGGTTGTGTGATGACTTCCTGCCAGCTTGAAACCCTTCAGCTCCTAAAGCACTCATTGACCTTAATCATAATCATGCTGTGTTTTGACTCAGGCTGTCGTTCTTTCCATGTATCTGGAGATGGGAGCTGTGGAGCTCAGGGGCCGCTCTGCCGTGGAGCTGGGTGCTGGCACGGGGCTGGTGGGCATAGTGGCTGCCTTACTGGGTGAGTGTGACATATTCATTCATTTCTTTGTGAGTGGAACTCATGGAGAGGTACATTTGCTGTTTTCTTGATGCAAAACCCACTGTTAGCTTCCCCTTACTGGATTATTTTTCTTTCCCCTGTCCTTAGTGTGAGTTATGGGCTAAGTCCAGTAAGGCTAATTTCTCCTCTCTTTCTTATCCTGTTACTTACACTTCTCATGGGAGATTGCTTTGCCCCTTTCAATTTTATGATGCTGATAATATGATCTGAAGGCAACTTTAACTTCAAAGGGAATTATCTTATTCACATACATAGTTTATATATATATATATATAGTTTAGGTCCTTTCTACGGATTTAACCCTGTGAGGTAGGTAGAGCAGGCAGCCTCTTTCCTTCATTGCTAAGGAAACTGCTGTTTTTTCTCTTCTAAGAAGGGTCAGTCGGTCCTGCTACAGTTGGTGCTGACATATTAAAAAATTGTTTTAACAGTATACCGTTATAAATTGATTAATATCAAGATTTGTCATTTTTTGGTTTGGAATAGAGACATTAATGTAGTTCTAGAGTATTTTTAAGCCTCATTATTATTTGATTATTCATTGTTGACTCCTTTGTACAATTTCTGGCTCATAGAGCTTGAACTAGCCAATGGTAGGACAGACCAGCTTTTAAGAGTCCATATATAATATTCACCACTTCAGTACTGTCACTTAGGGCTCTTAGTAAAATGCAGTTGCTGATTCCCAAGGTCTGGGGCGGGGCCTGAGAGCCTACCTTTCTAAAAAGGCCCCAGGTGATGACAATGCCAACACCTAACTTATACCTGCCCTTCTCCTAACATTTCTTTTTCAGTATTTCCTTTCTTGGTGTAGATTTGCCTTCCGAAATTTGATGGAGAACATGGGCACGGGTGGTGGATAAAAGGATATATAATTCGATTTAGATTTCCGTCTGTCTACAACCACAGGACTTTGTCACTGATAAGGCCCTTGCTGCCACGCTGCCTTTTGTTCTCCTCAGGTTGGCCTTATAGTGTCCCCATGTATGTTACATATTCTTTTTCATTTTTCAAATGAAACGGGGGTTCCGGGAGATTAAATCGCTCTCTGAAGTCCTGATCATTGGAACCCTGAGACTCAAACCAGCCTTGTCAGACACAGCAGCCCAAGTTATTTTCTTTCCACGACATTCACGTCCCTCTGCTGTTATGAGAGGAGTTAACTAGGAGGGGAAATGAGGTTTCTTTTGTTTCCTTCTGAGAACTAGGGCTTCATGCAAATCTTCATTGGCCGGAATAGCAACAGGTTAAGTGTGGTCAAGTGCATAGGTTTAGAGCTATACTTGGTTTTCACACATCTTTGAACTCCTACTAGCTGTGTGACCTTGGGCAAGTTGCTTAACTTCTGAACTTTAATTTCCCTATGAAATGAGGAAATAATTGTATTCATTCCACATTGAGGATCAAATGAGATCGTGTGTCAAAATCTGCTGGCTCATTAACTGGCACAAAGTAAAGGCTCAATGAGTGTTGATTGCCTCGCCAAGTACGGTAGTTCTGTTTCTGCTCTAGAAATCTGGATCTGTGGGGCTGGGAAACTCAAGATAGGGCTGTTCAAAGACTATCACAGAGCGAGGGACTAGTTAGGTCAGCGGTTCTCAACCTTTCACAGGGGTCGCCTAAGACCATTGGAAAACACGTATTTTCGATGGTCTTAGGAACCGAGACACCGCTCCTCTATCCGTCTCCAGGCCCACATGCAGATACCCACATACGAGTACCCGGAGACCCCTGTGCAAGGGTCGTTCGACCCCCAAAGGGGTCGCGACCCACAGGTTGAGAACCGCTGAGTTAGGCGATGCCATAAAAGACCCTGGTGGTTCTGGGAGGGCTCAGAACAGCAGACAGTGTCCTTGCCATCAGGAGATGTATGCTTCCCGGCCCCACTTCATGTCACCTGTTTGAGTTCTTTCCTGCCCCAAAGCACAATTAATTGCTGCCTTATGCCTTTTCCCCACAGTGCTTGGTATACACCTCACCTCTGTCCCATTGTGGTCACATATCATTATCGGCAGGTGTGTCCCGTGTCTCTGTCTCCCGGTTCCTGAAGAATGGGACTGTGTCTCATTATATGTGTCCTTGGCCCTGGTACAGCACCTGCCACACAGGAAATACTCAAAATAGTTCTGGAGTGAGAGAGGAGCACACTAGAAAATCATGAAAAGTAATGTTTCTGTTAGAAAAGTCATGTAACTCTATTATAAAAATAGCCCTAAGGGCACTCTTTAAAAAAGGGGGGGAACCCCACTAAAGATTCCAATTATTCATTTAAGATATTTTCATGTTTTGTAACCCGAGGCTTTTGATCCTGAATTCAGGGAACACCCGCTCATTGTCAGGTGGGCTCATCTAAAATGCAGAAGTGACGGGGTTACCCATACTTAACCAACCCTGTGCCTCCCCACAGCCTACAGGCCACATCCCAGGCTCCTTAGGAAGGTGCTGTAATCTCATTTTGCCTGACGCTCAGCCTCTTTGGTTTCCATAGCTATTGCACTGCGTGAAGTTCCAGGGCCTGTCCCTTTCTGGCCTGTCCCTTCTGCCCCGAACGCCTTTCTTTACCCCTTTCTCCTGGTTAATGCCATGGCGTTTAAGTGTAAGCTCAGATTTCCCTTCTTTTGACATCTTTGACCTCTGCTCCTCTCAAAGAATTTCTTCTTTGTGACCTCATAATTTCCTGGGCACACCCATATCCCTATTTTTTTACTTCACATGTTGCCTTATAATTCTGTTTATGCCTCTTTCCCTCATGAGACTCTGAGGGCAAGGTTTGTCTTGCTCATCTTTGTATCTCTAGCATATAACAGGTACTCAAAGGTTTAATAAATTAAGTCATTGCTTGCAAAACTAAAAACAAAAAGCAGAGACAAATGTTCAAACACACTTCTTCCATTACCAAGTGAGTGACAGCAGGCAGTCGTGTCTTTCTTTTTCTTCTTTTTTTTTTTTATAAATAATAATTTATTGCTTTTTCTTCCAAAGCTTTGTGAATTTACAAAAAAAATGAAAGTAAAGGGTCAAAGTTTACAAATTGCTCAGTTCAGACTTCTGAATGCATGAGGGGAGAACCTGGGCCACTGTGGTCACTGGGTGTTCATCACCAGATACGCAATGACATCTGAAACTGCCCCCCAGATTTGTTTTATTGCCTGCCAAGATGCTGCAGTCCTTACACATCATCCCACATGACATACTTGGGTCATTAGTCAAAGTCACTGGAATGGCTCAGAGGTTTTTTTTTTCCCCTCCTGCTATAAAATGAAATTTTCCGTTCATTTTTGAAAAACAAATTGGTCAATAAATTCATTTTGTTCTGCGTCTGCTTTACACAGGGCTTCATATTCAGCCCAATACCTTTCGAGCTGCTTTTTCTTTTCTGCTATTGGTGCTTGGCGTTGCAGTTGCTGGGCTTCTCTCTGCTTTGCTGTAGATTTGAGCAAGTTCCGAGCGCCAACGAATGGCTTTCATCTTCTCATTTTCTGCTGCTTCTGCAAGTTAGTTAACAAGCTCAAGTAAACCACCAACTATTTTCTGAAAACGGGCCAATTTGGGCCATGAGGTCCTTGAGCTCTGTGGTCTGCTGGGTAAGCTCTGGGTCCTACACTCACAGCTTGTTCAGCTTATCACAGTGCAGCCCTGCCAAGCCCAGGATGTCTGTGGCCATAGCTGCCGACGCCGTAGCCGTGCTCTGTGGCCCAGGCTGATGGGGGCAGGCAGCTTCTCTCGTCTCTCTGCGACAGCTGTATCTGGCCTGCCCACCTCAGCTGCTGCCAGGGCTCAGGACCTGTTTACACATCACATCGAGCTACGTTGTTGTATTGGGTCAGTTTCCATTCATCTTTTATGAACTCAGTATTACCTCATTGCCTTACTTCCCCAGCAAGAATCCCAGGCAGTCATTTTAGCATCATCTTCACATACTGCCAGCACCCTGTCCTTCCTTGTGTCTTCTTCACTAGGCTAAAAACAAAGTTAAGTGCACCTCTTCATCTGTTCCAGGCCTGTACCTGTGCAGCTGACTGTGGCTGGAGGAAACACACTGCTGCTGGGTCTCATTTTAAGTCCACGATCAGGACGCTCGAAGGGGCTCTTAATGCTGCTGAGCAGTCACACGGCCTCCCCTCTTCCTCTGCGAACATACAGTGCTTCCTCCTCCAGTCCCACTCTTAGCTGATGACATGTCTCCTTATGTCACCGAGAAGAGAGCTTCTATAACCCCCCACCACTGCCTCTGCCCCCACCTGTGGCTGGACCCGTAATCTCTGCCTTTGCCCAGTGGTTCTCTTCTGCAGCGTCATTTCCTCCACTTCCCATCCGATCCTTCCCACCACCATACAAGCTTGCTGTCATTTCTCCCACTGAAAAATAATTAACTTCTTACGTGGCTGGTTCTATAATAGGTCTGTGGCAGGAAAAGTACAAGATAACCCTGGAATAGCTTGTCAAACCAGATAGCAAGGAAGGCATCAAGGATGACATGGGGTTGTGTCAAAAGTCCACTGGAAAAGACAGGACAATTTGAGCATCAGTAATACATCAAATACGTTTAATCCATGAGTTCATGATACAAGAAAAACATAATTAGTTGTCTTTGGAGGATGCTTAGGAACCAACCCTTTATTTTGAAATCTGGTTTATAAAATGGAAGGGAGGAGCAAAATTTATCCTGCTTTTCTGTTCAAACAATCCCTGTACACAATGAATAACCAAACAGGAATTGAAAGAAGCTTTCCCTTATAGAAGTTTCTCAACAAATAAATGCAAAAGGAATCTAATGAATTAAGGATCTGGGCATTGAGTATCTGTGGCTGCGCACCACATGTTATATACCTCTTAAGGAAAAACATCCCCTCCCCGCCCCCACGTCTGAAATAGTCTTGTTCAAAAATTTAAACCCAAATCAAACATATTTATAGGAGATACACAGGACAGAGGAACATGCTAAACTATCCAAATGG